ATAATAATAAAGAAAGAAAGAAAGAAAAAGAAATAAGAGAAGGCCCAAATAAAAGAATAGCTCCAAGTTCTTGAAAAAATACAACTAAGCAACGAAGAGATAGTCAACCTATCAGATGCACAGTTCAAAACACTGGTAATCAGGATGCTCACAGAATTGGTTGAATTCAGTCACAAATTAGATGAAAAAATGAAGGCTACACTAAGTGAAATAAAGGAAAATGTACAGAGAAACAAAAGTGATGGGAAGGAAACTGGGACTCAAATCAATGGTGTGGACCAGAAGGAAGAAAGGAACATCCAACCAGAAAAGAATGAAGAAACAAGAATTCAAGAAAATGAGGAGAGGCTTAGGAACCTCCAGGACATCTTTACACATCCCAACATCCAAATCATAGGGGGTGCCAGAAGGAGAAGAGGAAGAGCAACAAGTGGAAAAGTTATTTGAACAAATAATAAAGGAGAACTTCCCCATTCTGGCCAAGGAAATAGACTTCCAGGAAGTCCAGGAAGCTCAGAGAGTCCCAAAGAAGTTGGATCCGAGGAGGAACACACCAAGGCACATCACAATTACATTAGCCAAGATTAAAATGAAGGAGAGAAGCCTAGAAGCAGCAAGAGAAAAAGAAGCAGTTACCTACAACAGAGTTCCCATCAAACTTCCAGCTGATTTCTCAAAAGAGATCTTGCAGGCAAGAAGGGGCTGGAAAGAAGTATTTCAAGTCATGAAAGGCAAGGACCTACACCCAAGATTGCTCTATCCAGCAAAGCTTTCATTTAGAATAGAAGGGCAGAGAAAGTGCCTTTCAGGTAAGGACAAGTTAAAGGAGTTCATCATCACCAAGTCCTTATTATATGAAATGTTAAAGGGACTTATCTTAGAAAAAGAAGATAAAAAATATGAACCGCAAAATGACAGCAAACTCACATTAACAACCACACGAAAACAAAAAGAAACTAAGCAAACAGCTAGAACAGGAACAGAACCACAAAAATGGAGATCACATGGAAGGTTATCAGCAGGGGAGTGGGAGGAGAGAGGGGGAAAAGGTACACAGAATAAGTAGCATAGATGGTAGGTAGAAAATAGACAGGGGGAGGGTAAGAATAGTATGGGAAATGTAGAAGCTAAAGAACTTATGACACATGGACATGAACTGGGGAAGGGAATGTGGGTGGGAGAGGGTGTGCAGGGTGGAGGGGAGTGAAGGGAGGGAAGTGGGACAACTGTAATAGCATAATCAATAAAATATATTTAAAAAAAGAGTGACTTGGAATAAGTAAGAAAGGAGGAGGAGGGGAATGGGATGGGAGGCGGAATGTTCTAAGCAGAGTGAAGAGTATGTACCAAGTCCCTGGGGATTCAAGAACTGAAGTTCCAGTGAGGCTGAAGGCAAATAGTGAAGTGCACAGTGATGAGTAAGGTAGCTTTTTCCAAATTCAACTTCAACCTCCCAGTTCTGAAAGGGGCCTGGCACACAATAGGCCTCACTAAATACATTAGTGAAATGTCATTGGACCACAGGGAGCTCCTCACAAGACATTATAATCTCACAAGCTGCTACTCCCTTGTCAATCTGGCAAATCTCTACTCACCTTTGAAGGTCCTGCGCGTGTATCTCCTCAGTGAGGCCTGCACCCAATATCCACTCCCTTCAAGGGAGTTATTCACTTTCCCCATGAGTCTGCCAGAACACCTATGGTTTCCTTTGCGTGTATATAGAAAAGTTATTTATAAATACTTACATGTATTTTTAAAAGATTTTACTTGTTTATTTTTAGAGAAAGGAGAAGGGAGGGAAAAAGAGAGGAAGAGAAACATTGATGTTTCTTTGTGTGTGAGATACATGGATCGGCTGCCTCTCACACCCCTCCAACTGGGGACCTGGCCTGCAACCCAGGCAGGTGCCCTGACTAGGAGTTGAACCTATGACCGTTTGGTTCGCAGGCTGGCACTTAGTCCACTGAGCCACACCAGCCAGGGCTCATGCATTTTTTATCACAGTCTTCTTTACTAGACTCTAAGATTATCAAAAAACAGGAACTATCCCCAATTCCAGCTAGATATTTGTACATGTTTGTAAAACAAATGGATGGAGTCATTGTCCTCCTTTTCAAAAGAATCCGTTTCCAAGTCCTTCCACAGCAGAACCCTCTTCCTGCTCCCAGCAGGGTCTCCTCACTGACTTCTGATCAGGGCAAGCAAGCCTTGCCTTTTGTTAGAGGTGGGGTTCCAGCCAGAACTTGGTCCCCGCCTACCTCTCTTCCACCTGCCACACTACATTTTCCCTCACTAACTTACTTGGCTCCAGCCACACAAGCCTTCTTTCTTTTTCTTAAACATGCCAAGCTTCTTCTTACCCTAAGGCCTCTGCAGCTCTGTTTAGAACTACACACTTCCTCCAGAGTTACAAATGGCTAACATTTTCTCATCATTGGAAGCATCTCAAATATCATTTCCTCAGAGATGCAGCCCCTGCCCACATTAAAGAAGTCCCCCGTCAAACCACTCCCTAGTAGTGCATCGTCTTGCTCTATTTCCTTCTTGCACTGACCAGTATCTGAAATTATCTTTATTGCTTGCAGTTTTGGATGTTTTTAATTCTCACCCGAGGGTATGTTTATTGATTTTAGAGAGAAAGGGAGAGAAACATCAATGGAAACATCGATCAGCAGCCTCCCATTCGCAGCCTGACTGGGGACCAAACCTGCAACCACAACCCTTTTGGTGTGTGGGACGGTGCCCCAACAGACTGAGCCACATGGGCAGGGCTGTAGTTGACATTTTTTTATACCCTTACAATGACCATAATAGTCAAGGTTTTTGTCTGTTTTAGTCACTACTGCATCTCCAGTACCTAGAATGGGGCCAGGCACTTAGTAGGGCTCAATAAATACTTGAAAGAATGAACACAATCAAAGTGGCTTTGGGGATCCTGAGTGTTGAGTATCCTGGCATTTGCCACCTCTTGCCAGCTCTGGGGAAGAACACAAGTTTGACCACATGTAATCCCGACATTCAAATTATGTCCCAGGCTCTGAGGACTGAGGCTCGGGGTTTGTGTCCCGAGCTCTGCTACCAAAATCCTCATGTAACCTCATTTGTGAGAGAGAGCTTAATGCAACAGAGAGAACACCAGCTTTGGAATCTGTTCCAGCTATATGACTTAGAACAAATTACTTGAGGTCTGTCTCCAAGCTTTAGTTCCCTCAATTGTCAAAGGGAGATACTGTTACTGATCCTCACACAGGAGTTGTAAAGGCGATGTGGGGATTTTAAGCATTTACTGAATGTTATTTCTCTTTTCTTTCTTTTTTTTTAAAGATTTTATTTTTTATTTATTTCTAGAGAGGGAAGGGAGAAAGAGAGAGAGGGAAACATCAATGTGCGGTTGCTAGGGGCCGTGGCCTGCAACCCAGGTATGTGGCCTGACTGGGAATCGAACCTGCAATGCTTTGGTTCACAGCCTGTGCTCAATCCACTGAGCTACGCCAGCTAGGGCTTATTTCTCTTTTCTTTCATCATACCTGATTCTTAGTTATCCCATTCATAAAATGGAAGAATTAGATGTCTTTTTAAAGAGATATGGGAAATACAGAGTTTTTACATGAACTATCCCACTTTTGAAATGTTGGGAATAAAAATGTGTTAAACACTTTTTTTTAAAGGTGTTTTTTTAATGTAAAAACACCCTGAGGGTCAAACAAGATACTTCTGTGGTCTGGACTTGGACTGTGAGCTATCAATTTTCCATTTAGGCTACTGGGTGTCAGGGATAGTTTACTTCCCAGAACTATTAGCCCCATCTTTGTAAAATGGACCCGCCTTTGTGCATATGAAAAGAAATCAACAAATTCAGATAGAGAGAACAGAGGGGAAAGGAGTGGGCAGAGGAGGATCAGGGTAAAGGTGGTCAAATATATGGTGTCCAAAGGTAACTAGACTTTGGGTGGTGATATTTTACCCCAATGCATTTTTTAAAACATTTTATTTATAATTTTAGATCTTTTTAATCACAGAGTTTAAATCGTAGTCGATAAAAAACATTGTTATCCGTTGTTGATTTTGCAAAAACACAGGATTGGGACCAGATCAGAGATCCCCCTGAATTCTGTGAGTGTGTGTGCTCCTCTAGTGCACGACTTATCGTGGGAAGGAGGCAGGGTGAACAGAGCATCTGTAATGTGCAGTCACTGTGCGGCTGTTAGCCGCTTTATAGAGTAGCATGCTTAAATTTTGTATCATGACCTCCACTTTCAGAAATGGAAATTGAGACTAATGTCGACAGAACAGAGGGATGTTTATTTTTTAGAGATGGGGGAAGGGAAGGAGAAAGAGAAGGAAAGAAACATCAATCATTTGTCTCTCAAAGGTTCCCAACTGGGCACCCAGCCTTGCAACCCAGGTATGTGCCCTGACTAGGAATCGAACCGACAACCTCCTGGTCCTCAGCCACACCAGCAAGGTCCCATTATATTTAACTAAAACAACAACAACAAAACAACAACAACAACAGACCCTTAGGGTGGCCCCAACCGGCGTGGCTCGATTGAGCGTCATCCAGCAAAACGACAGGTCACCAGTTCGATTCCGCTCAGAGTACATGCCTGTGTTAGGGCCTGTCCACGGTACTGATGGAGCGCATGCGAGAGGCAACCACACATCCACGTTCTCTCCCTCTCTAAAAATAAAAAAAATAAAATCTTTTTAAAAAGACGTGAGGTGTGCGAAGCTCTTAGCACAACGCTGGCACTTAGCAGGCCCAATACAAAACGGGTCAGCGGTATCTTTTTGTGGCGGTTGATTTAGTAAGTATGTATTCAAGGAGCAAGATATCTCAGGGACCAGATGACCGGAAAAGCGACCCCCGGTAAAGCAGAAAAGACAGCAAAATAGGAAAGGGAAAGAGTGAGGAGGTAACAGGGTCCGCCCTCCAGGCGGGGCGCCACCCTGAGGCCCTGGCCAGTGCTGGAGTGCACGTGGCCTAGTCTGGGCGGAGCGGACGCGCCCGGCCGCAGACTACACCTCCGAGTCCTCTGCCACGGAGGACAAGCCTCGAAGGTAGCAGGTTCCAACCGGACTGCGAGGACCTTGAAAGACCGAGTGGAGCGGCATGGGGTCTTTTGCGTTGAAGGACATAGGAAGGCGCTGGATTTGAGTTTCCCATCCTCCTGGGGCAGTTCGGCCCGGACATCTGGGTCCTCTGGATCCCTCCCCTAGAGGGCGGGGTTAAGTTTTCTGACCAATGACAGCGCGCTCCCTAGGCTGCCCCGCCCCCAGAACGGGGGTCTTACTGAATACCCTCACCACCCCGAACCCCGGCCTGGGGCTGCGCGAGCGCGGAATTTGCGGTGAGTGCGCCATCCCCTAGGTTTCCGCCTGGATCCATCCTCCAGCTGGTACTAGGCCGCTGACCCAGGCGCGGGAGAGTGACTGAGCACCGGGAGGGTGGCGATTTGCTGGGACTGGAGGTTCGAACTGCTCAGGGTCTTAAATGCTGGAATAAGTGGGGTGAACGAGTGTTCTCAGAGCTGGTCCCTAGGAAGTGCTGGTGCCTACGGCTGAGCTGGGGTGAGAGGGGAGAGGGCCAGACCCAGAGACCAGGATCGGGCTAGAGAAGCCAGGACTACACCACCTTGCCTGGGCCAGGGCCACGGTGGGGGGCGGGTCCTGAGCTTCTGACTCAGCTGCCCTCCCCAGGACACCAAGATGCCCGGCGAACAACAGACGGAGGAGGAGGAAGAAGAGATGCAAGAGGAGATGGTGCTGCTGGTGAAGGGTGAGGAGGATGAGGGCGAGGAGAAGTATGAGGTGGTGAAACTCAAGATCCCTGTGGACAACAAGGAGGTACGTGTCCCACACTCTGGGGCCCCGTTTCCCCTGACCTGGTTCGGTTCCAGTCTCCATGCTACAGAAGCCGGGATCCTGTCCCTACTTTTCCATGAATCTCAGGTTTAGGATCTGAGGGTTGGCAAAGCATCCTTGTGCCCCCACTTCCCATGCTGACGTCAGACAGATGTCACACCTACTGTGCCAAGCTCTGTGCTGGGTGATGGAGAGTAAATGTTATCCTTGGTTCCCCATGGAGCCTGATGTGTAGCAGGATAGACTGCTAAGTAACCACGCAGCTACAATTCTGTATGATGAGTGCGGGCACCAGGGTGGGCGCTGGGAGCTTAATGCAGACTTGAGTGGAGGCAGGTCCAGGTTAGGCAACAGTGACCTCTGACTCTTGGTAGCATTTACTATTCTTCAGACACTATTTTAAGCATCTTAGTTCTATAACATAGGTAGTATTTGTTCCAGGTGAGGAAACTGAGGCCCAGGATACTGGACAGTTTGGTGACTGGCCCAGGGTTTCAAAGTTAATAAAGAGATGGCTTATCTGAGACCAGGAAGAGTGAGGGGTAAAGTGGGTGACTACTCCAAACAGAAGAAACAGGACTTCAAGTGGCTCTGAGTGAGTGAGTGAGGAGGCACTGGGAGAAGTGAGTGCAGGTGGTTCAGCCGTGCTGTAGTGTGGATGAGGTTAGGGTGTTTGGCAGGTCAGATAGGATATTTGGGTTTCATCCTGAGGGTGATGAAGGTTTAAATAGTGTAGTTTTAAAAAAATTAAGAGCGGTGTTTTAATATCAGAATATGAGTTAGATTTCCCCATTCAAGACCCTAACTGCCGCCCTGGCCAGTGTGGCTCAGTTGGTTGGAGTGTCGTCCTCTGAACCAAAGGTCGTGGAATCGATTCCTGGCCAAGGCACATACCCCAGTTGCCAGATTCCGTCCCTGGTGTGGGCACATGCAAGAAGGAGCAATCCATGTTTCTCTCTCTCTCTTCCTCTCCCTTACACTCTCTAAAGCAATGGGGAAAAAATATCCCCGGGTGAGAATGAAAAAAATAAAGAAGACCCGAACTCCCACCCGCAGCCAGTGCAACTCTGCTTATCGCTGGAGAACTCCAATTGGGCCAGGTGTCTGGGACCAGGTTCTGATTTCTTCCTGCACTGGAGCCAGATCTCTGCGAAAGAAAGTTCTCCTGCCCCCTAGTGGGCATGATGGACACAAGGCAGAGGCTGCTTGTAGCTTGGGTTTCCTCCAGTAAAACAGAACTACTTAATTCTGTTTTCCTTAGGCCTCATTGGCCCATCATTCTAACTTAGTCTGACTTTTCTGATCCTGTGGATCTCCTGATCTCCCCATTCCTCTTGTAAGAACTCAGACACCAGCCTTGACCGGTGTGGCTTGGTTGGGCCACACCCAGCCAACTTTAGTTTCTCGATCTTTCTGAGAACTAAAGGTTAAGTGATCAAATCCTGGTGAGGGCAATGCCTGGGTTGTGGATTCGGTCCCCTGGGTGGGTACAAGAGGCAAGCAATTGATGTTTCTCTCCATCTCTTTCTACCTCTATTTCCCTCACTGTAAATCAATCATTAATCAATAAATCTTAAAAAGTAAAAAAAACCCTCAGACTCCAGAGCTTAGAGTGGATTTCCATCTTCATCACTTATCAGCTGTATGACCTTGGGCAAGTGAGGCAACGTCTTTTTGCCTCATGTTCCTTCTGCAGGTTTTTCAACTCATTTTTATCAAAGGCCTTTTTAGGCTGAATCCTGGGTCTGGGGGTGAAAGGGGAAACCAATAGAGAGGCCTAGACAGCATCGAGGGCAGCCAACTCAAGGCAGTGGGGCAGGCTTTACAGAGAAAGCTTAGTGCGGATTTGGAAAACGGAGGCAGAGGAAGGGCATCCCAGGAGGAGGAAAAAACAAAAGCAAAGGCTCAGAGGAGATGGGGCCCCGAGAGTAAAAGGCATTGAGAGCCAGCATAGGAACTTAACACGTTGTGTGAAGTTATGCCGTGTTATCCAAAGCCTCAAATCAGAAGAAAAACTTAGATTTTCTATTTAGAAGATTTCTTGTCTGTTGTGGGAAGAACAGGCCATATAAGGCTGGTAGCTTGCTCTAAGGTAGTGACAGCAGTGGAGAGAAGTCGGAAAGCAGGGGATATTTGGGCACCTTGGCTGGACTGGCTGGAGCTAAGGATGGGGAGGTGGAGGGTCATGAGATGTAAGTGGGGACAGACTGTACATGGTACCTGGAGCAGTTAAAAGCATTGGTTCAAATTCTGACTACACTGTTTATCAGCTTTGCCTGTGCTTTCTTGTCTGTAAAATGAGATGTTGAAAATCAGATGTTTGAAAGCCAGTCTAAGTGTCATCTGGGTGACTGCATTTGGAGGAAGAGGGTGGAAATGAGGATTACTCACACACACTCCATACACATTTAGCACTGCACTGTGCCCACAACATAACTCATCAACTTGCAGTGTGGTGTCCCTGAATCCCAGTTTCTATGAAAATAGTGATCTCAAAAGCCTCTTCCAGTGCTGACATCCTATAACTCTTAGCTGTCACCCAGTCCTAAGGCCAGTCATTGTCCGGGACAGGCCTTAATTATGCTCCACAGAGGGGCTGAAGCATTCTCTCACTGCCTGTCAAAAGCCAATCTCTTTAATGAATACAGAGATTTCCTCAAAGGGCTCTCTGCACATCCAATCCTCTCTTTCTCTCCCCCCTCTCCCTCTCCTTAAACCCATGGGTTTCTGTTTCCCTCAGGATAAAGTCCTGGCTCCGAAGCCTGGTGGCATTCAAAATCTTCTCCATGGGACTCGTGTACTGGCTTCATCACCCAAGCCCCTTCCTGTGCCCCAGCTTCAAACGGCTGGAGAACTGTGGCTGAGCACGTTTTCTGGGCCCAGGCTCAGACTTCGCACATGTGGTCTTTCAGCCTGTAAAACCCTCTTCACCTTTCCATCTGCTTTCTCCAGGAGTTTCTCCACTCTCTTCTGGATAGTGTCTAATGTCAACATGCATGGAAATCACCTGGGAATCTCGTCGCAGTGAAGATTTTGACTCAGCAGGTCTGGGGTGGGACTTGAGATTCTAACAAGTTCCCAATGATGCTGATTCGGCTGGTCTGTGGACCACACTTCCTGCAGCAAGGGGATGGAGGATAGGCACCACATTTTATAGTTGGTGCTGAAAAGAAGGGGTTTCTGAAAACGTCCAGGGGAGGGAGGGACCTCCCTAGGGAGTGACCTCTAACTTGTGAGATAGAATTGCATCATGACTAAGAGAACAGGTGTTTTGACAGTGGCAGACTTCCAGTTCAGACCCTGCTTCTGCCATTGATTAGCTGCAGGGCCCTGGAGAGTCGCTTTACTTCTGAGCCTTATTTCCTTATTTATGAAGTGGAGCTCATGATACCTAACCCAAAGGGTTGTGAGAGTTTAAAATGAAAACAGGGGTGAAAAGCACATAGCACAGTCCCTGGCACATAGACTGCTCCATAAATGGTAGTTGTAATTGTTATTTTAAAGATTTTATTTATGTATTTTTAGAGAGGGCAAGAGAGGGAGAGAAACACCAGTGTGTGGTTGCCTCTCATGTGCCCCCTACTGGGGACCTGGCCTGCAACCCAGGCATGTGCCCTGACTGGGAATCAAACTGGTGACCCCTGGGTTTGCAGCCCACACTCAATCCACTGAGCTACACCAGTCAGGGCTGGTACCCTCTTGTTATAGTGCAGATACCATTTACTCTCATTTAAATCTAGTAGTTGTAGAATTTAAGACAGGTGAGGTCCTTTAATGACCACCTAGTCTCGTATTTGCCAGTCACCATGTAAGTCGCTCCCCTGCTGGCCTCATTTACTTAATGCTTTTCTTCTTTAAATCCACCTTCATCCACACCATATTACTGATGGAATTGTGGGTTTCACGTTGTCTATTGTTTTTCTAATATCTGTGAGAATGAATACATAAGGACTATAATGAGATAAAAGTGTGCCTACAGAAGACTTAGAATCCTCTTGTGTCCTGTGATGTGTGCATACCTCAAGTTTGGTAATTTTGATCTCACCTAGCCTGCCTCACCTTCCTTGGTTCACCATGGCCTGGGAAGGAGGTGACTTGCCTGGGGTCTCAATGAGCTAGGCTCAGCCCCTCTTACCTTGAGTCCCTGGAGCACCCAAGGCCCCTGTCCTGGAGCTGCAGATAACCAAGAACACTTGTGTGGAGAAGTTCTTCCTAAGTCAGTGAACCCAGCCTAAGGAAGCCCTCAGGCTGGTCAAAGTCATCTGAAAGAAGGGTGCCAAAGAAAAAGGGGCCAGAAGAAATACAGACATAATAGGGAAAGTTCTCTCTGCAAGGGCTGACCTGTAGAAATAAAACCAATAGGTGTCAAAACCCAGGCAAGTGTGACCGGGCAAGTGTCAAAAACCAGGAAAGTATGACCTTGAATTCAGACTGCCAAATCTGCTATGGGGAGTTTCTCAGTTTAAAGTATGAACTTGTAGTTTTAACTTTGAATCCCTCTTGGAGTGTAGCAGGGACTTGGAGTCCGTCCTCTGTCACATCTTGGCTGTGCAAGTGCAGGGAAGTACAGTGTAGCCTACTGCATGTTAAGGGTCCTGACCCCCACTGGCTATGGGGATTTCATCTCCTGTGCCTCAGTTTTCTTTCTTCCTTCTCCCGCCCCCCCCCCACCACAATTTTGTTTATCTATTGTTAGAGGGAAAGACAGAGAAAAAGAGAGGGAGAGAAACATGAATGTGTGAGAGAAACACCCATCAGCTGCCTCTTGCACATGCTGCTACCAGGGACCAGGCCAGCAACCTTTCTCTTTGAGGCATGATACCCAACCAACTGAGCTACACAGTCAGGGAACACCTCAGTTTTCTCAATTATCAAAGATAACACCTGACTCAAGGGGGTGAAAGGAAGATTTAATACAATAATGTATATAAAATAGCATTGTTGAAGATTCACACTGTAATGTTGGGATCACTATTACCACTCTGTGTACCGTTTAAAGTAGAGTTCCCTTGGCTGGTCATTAATTTCTCAAACTGCCTTCTGTTCCAATTTCTGAGTTACCAAAAAGTGACTGCCTTTTATCCAGGTTTCAAGACCTTGAATTTGCTGTCATTGCAATAAGAAAAATAAGGTGTTAATTGCTCCTTAGCTGTCACTTAGCCTCTGTTAACCTGTTTCCATATCTATAAAATAATATTGTGCCCTGGCTGGTGTGGCTCAGTGGATTGAGTGCCGGCCTGTGAACTAAAGGGTTACTGGTTCGATTTCCAATTAGAGCACATGGCTGGGTTGCAGGCCAGACCCCAATCGGGGGTGCTAGAGAGGGAACCACACATTGATATTTCTCTCTCTTTCTCCTTGCCTTCCCCTCTCTCTAAAAATAAATATGATCTTTTAAAAAATAAAATAATATTGTAATAACTACTCTGGGGAGAAGTTGATGTTGTCTTGTCCTTCATATGTGCTGCATATTTATTCATTCATGAATTAATAATGTGCATAATTGCTTGGCCAGTAGAAAATACTCGGCATGACTTTTGCAGGGATTAGCCTTCTCTTTTCTAGGGAGGGAGCCGTATGCCCTCAATATTCATGTTGTTTTTACTGTTAACACAAAATAGTAACATAATACAACATATTAATACTGTTAATACATTTTCCCTTCACCTGCCTTTTACAGAACACTTCTTTTTCTGACTTTATCTCTAGAAGCCCAGACTTTATGAACCTGGCTCATTTTCAGTTTAGGCCTCAGAATTGTATTTGGGTTTTACCCTTGCCTTCTTCACAGCTTAAAAAATGGTGGATCCTGGATCTTCAAAATTATTAAAAGGCCTGGATTTTCTCCTGGCCTGCCTTCTAAGACACCATCCTGCTCCTACCCTTACCTCCCCAGGCTCTCACTGCCCATTCCCTGAGTAACCTTATTCAGTTTCAAGGCTTTAAAAACCATCTATGGGCTGATGGCTTCCCAATTAACATGTCTAGTCTAGGACTATCTCCTGAGCTCCAGATGTGTCGAGAATGACAGATCACATCTGTCATCCTCAATGTGACAGGTCTCACATGTCAACTTGTTCTTCCCCAGCCATCCTGGTAGTTGCCAAATTCAAATCCTTGGAGTAATTCTGACTCCTTTTTCTTTATGTCTCCTATCTAATCTATTGATCAAATCTGTTTTCTCAAATGGCAAAATTATATTCAGAAGCAGACCATTTCTCACCACCTTCACTTCTCACCTGTCACCTGGATCTGAGCCACTGTACTCTCTTGCTAGACACTGCAGTACAGTAGCCTCCTCCAAGGGCCCCCTGCGTCTGCCCTCTTGCCTTCTGCAACCCCCAGCAACCTGATGGAGGCTTTTGAAATGAGTCTGATCTGGTCATGTCCCTACTCAAAACCTTCTGATATCTCCTCTAATGGTTCCGCATCTCATTCATATCGCAAGGCCTTAAGCTGAGAGATCCCCTCCAGGAGCACCCCATGGATTACTCTCCCCCTCATGCATTCTGCCCTAGGCACCTTCTCTTGCTCTTCCTGGAACTTGCAAAACTCCTACCTCAGGGTCTCACTGTTCCCTCTGTAGCCTGCTTTCTCACTTCTCTTAGATCTTTGCTCATGTTACACCAGTAGTTTCTTAATCTTATTAAATTTGCGGCGTCCCCCTACCACCAGCACTCCTTATCCATTCTTCCCAAAAGCAGGAATTTAGAAAATTCAATACTGAATCCCCAGTGCCTAGAATAGAGTCTGGTACATTGTATGTCCTTAATAAATATTTGTTGAATTCATAAAGAGTAGCCAGCATGACTCTGAACATTGTGACATGTGCATTAATGTAGTATGTAATTTAATGCGCACAGCCGTTCTGAGGCCGGCACCCTTGCTTTCCTGTTTTGCATAGGGCAAACTGAATGATTACAGCTTTCAGACACCTAGGTCCCTGGCTCTCAGGCTATATGGGTCAGGACTGACCTATCCCTTCTCTTCCCCTAGGTCCCAAGCGAGGCTCCAGCGCCGTCTGCCGATCCGGCACGCCCACATGCGTGCCCAGACTGTGGCCGGGCTTTCGCTCGCCGCTCCACACTAGCCAAGCATTCGCGCACGCACACTGGCGAGCGACCCTTCGCATGCACTGAGTGCGGCCGGGGATTCTCGCAGAAGTCGGCGCTGACCAAGCATGGCCGCACGCACACTGGGGAGCGGCCCTACAAGTGCCCTGAGTGCGACAAGCGCTTCTCGGCTGCCTCCAACCTGCGGCAGCACCGGCGGCGCCACACTGGCGAAAAGCCTTATTTATGCACACACTGCGGTCGCCGCTTCGCGCAGAGCTCCAACTACGCACAGCACCTGCGCGTGCACACGGGCGAGAAGCCCTATGCCTGTCCAGACTGTGGACGTGCCTTTGGTGGCAGTTCGTGCCTGGCGCGCCACCGACGCACGCACACAGGTGAGCGGCCTTACGCATGCGCTGACTGCGGTACGCGCTTTGCGCAGAGCTCAGCGCTGGCCAAGCACCGGCGTGTGCACACTGGAGAGAAGCCGCACCGTTGTGCGGTGTGTGGCCGCCGTTTTGGGCACCGCTCCAACCTGGCGGAGCATGCCCGCACGCACACGGGCGAGCGGCCCTACCCGTGTGGCGAGTGCGGCCAGCGTTTCCGCCTCAGCTCACACTTCATTCGCCACCGTCGTGCGCACATGCGGCGCCGTCTCTACATCTGCGCTGGCTGCGGGCGAGACTTCAAGCTACCCCCTGGAGCTACGGCCGGCACTGCCACCGAGCATTGCCCAGAGTGTAAGAGCAGCTGATCTCTAGTCTGGTGGCTGTGGGGTGCTAGTGTCCAGTACACCAGTGTTCCTGAACCAACTCTGAGGATTGCAACCCTTCGGGGCTAAGTTAACGTGATGGACTACTCCCCGGCACCCTGGTTTGGGAGAGGGTGGGATGGAAGGCCTGGCTTCCCAGTACTGGGACATGTGCGGATCCCTGCGAACCGTGCTCACTTCCCCTCACAAGTCCTCAGCCCGTGCTAGTAAATGAAGTATATCCTCACCTGGCCCTAGCCCGTGATTGAGGTGATTGGGGGGAGGAGCCAAGTTGGGGATTTCCCCAGACTAGGCAACTTAGGTGAACTCTCATGGAACCAAGTGGGGATATAAACCCAAAAGCCTACCTGGAACTGGTTTTGTATGTGTGGAGTCCTATCTAGAAGGGTCCATAAATATAGCACACTTGTGATCAAACAGGCATTACATTCCGCAGGGCATTGGTGAATTGCATGAACTTCATGGAGCTCAGTGTGTAATGAAGAGACAATATTTTATACCACTGTGTTTAGAGCTTTAAGTGCTTCATTATTATTAGGTCAGCTCATCTTCAAGCTCAACATCCTAAAGTTAAGTAAGTCTTATTTCCACTCCTTCAGGTAAGTATCTGACAGCCAGTGAAAGACAGACCCCTGTCTGTCTTTCAAGTAAATAGTAAATAGACAATTGCAGGCCATTGTCATTAGAGCTTTCGTGGAGAAAGATTGTTGGTTAGGTCTTTAATGCAGTCCTCAACTTCAGAGGTGATCATTTTAGGTGGTCTTGAAGGCTAACAAAGAGATGGGGATAGGGAACTGCACAGAGCCCCAGAAACTGCTTCCCAGACTTAACAGGTTGTAAACCTTTACTGGTGGAAGGCAGGGACAAAGAGCAGGAGGTTATCAGGCAATAGACCACTAGGGGTCTTAGAAGCCAGATGAAAGGATCCAAAGCAGCAAAGAAGCCTTGAGGGATGAGAGGGGAGGGATGCAGTGGACAGACTAAGGAGCTACAATTTGGGGGAGAAGGAAGATGGGGCTGACCTCATTTCTTAGCTTAGACGATAACAGGTAGTGTCACTGAGATGTGTAGGACAGTAGAAGTGGCAACAATTGTGATACCCAGTCCAGACATATTGAATGTGAGGTAAATGTGAAGGGGTCAGGGAGGTGATTGGAAATAACAGTTTGGGGATTATCAGGTCTGCAGTGCATGATACCTCATTCAGAAGACAGTAGCTAAGAAAAATCTGAACAGCCAAAGGTGGAAACAAATCCAGAAGTGTCACACTTGGAAAATCGAGAGGCAAGTTTCACACAGAGTGGTCCGCACAGATTCTGCTCTGGTGCCTGCTGTTTGTAGTTCGCAGAAGTGGGGGCAGTTTCAGTGGAAGGGTACGGATAAAAGCCAGCCTTGAGTGGGTTAGGGTATAAATGGGAGGATGGGGAAGCTAAGTGGCTGGGTATAGACAACCCTTCTCAAGAGGCTTGGCTGTGAAGCTGGGAAAAGTTTATTGGTTTTGTCTACGGGGAGATTAGTTTTTGTGCCGGTGGGAAGGCTAATGGGAAGAGGAGCTGATTGTATTGGGGGGACAGGGAGATAATTGACCAAGGAGCGGGAATGAAATCAAACCAGGAAGGATAAGGCTCCCGCTCTCACTGGTAGGGAGGAGCAGGGTGGTTTGGGAACAAAGCTGAAGCAGTTCCAATCTGGATACTTTTAGCTGGTGAGTTAGAGGTCACTGGTGAAGAGGGATAAGGTCACTAGAGGAATGAGGCCATTAAAGGGGATGATGACTCATCTCACTGATGGGGAAATAGGCCCATAAGGGCAAGAATAATTTAAAGGTCTTTCCCCCCAGCATTACCTCACCCTATGAGGGAGGCAGGTTACAGGCATCTCAGAAAGGAAGCGATGTGCCTGAGGTCACACAACAGATAAATTACACACAACTACCATATCTTTAGGTGTAAAGGTGGGATGAGAAATTGGTCTTGGGAGGGTAAGGGAGGGGGCAAGAGGCCCAAGCCCAAGAGGAGTGGAAGCCCTGTTCTGTTCCACATCCGAGACCTGACCCTGATTTGCTCTGGGTCCTGAGGCTCAGTCCTGGGCCCGGGCCTGCCTTAACTGGTGACGTTTCCTGCTGTGGGATCCAAATGTTTTGAGTTGAAAGACACATAACTGCAAACTTACTAAGTACCTACTATGTGCCGGGCACTGTCCTAAGCATTCTACCTGCAATAACTGACTTAAACTTTACCGCCCTATCAGGGAGATACTATTATTTTCACTTTAGGTGAAGAAACTGATGAACATCATCCAGCTGGTAAGTATCAAATACAGCATCTGAACTCTGATGTGCTGTCTCGAAAATCTGGGCTGTTACCACTAAGTACAGCCTCCAATCTTCTGTTAGAGGCTCCAAAGGGGAAACAGACCTGCAAGAGATCCCACAGGGGGGCCTGCTAGAAATGAGATCTCTGCACAGCAGGTGGGAGGTGCAGCAGAGAAACATGGGAGCTGGGTTCAGAGCAACCCTGCTGCCCCCCCCTGTAGTACCTGCTGAGACAGCCTCCCCAGGAAGGATCCAGAAGTTGCTAGACAAAACTTTTATTGAGAGAGGAGTACCAAGAAGCTGTCTTCCAGAGGTTCTTGAGCCTCAGACCTCAGACGTTGGGCTGCCAGGCCAGTGAGCTGGAAAGAAAGGGCTAGAATGAGGTTCCATGGCCAGGCAACCACCTGTTCCTCAGATGCCATGCTGAGTTGCAGGTGGTGGGTCCACGGTTCTAGGCTGAGGCCTCCTGGCGTGTGGATTCACAGGCAAGGTCTGTAGTCCCCACGGTCTGGTCTTCAGAGGTGGCCCCATGGGGCAAGTCCGTGTATTTGCGGGAGGAGCCACGGGACAGATGTGCTGGGTAGCGTCGCCGGTTTGTGTCCATCTTGGAGAGCACTGCTTGGGGCAGGTCCACACGGCAGCGGGCTGCTAATGCTACCAGGTAGATGAGGACATCGCTGAGCTCCTCCTGAAGGGCTGCCCGTTCCTTGGGGGGCCAGGTTTGGGGGCCAGGCTCCTCATCAGGCTTCCACTGACTGGGGGTGGAACAAAGGCACAGACACAGGTGTGACTAGGACAATGGGCTTCCCCTCTCAGAGCACCCTAGTCCTTGTAGCACTCAACTCCCACCTCCTAGAAATTTCCTTCAAGGACAGCTCAACCCGTCTGGGCCCTGGGTAGAGCCAGGGTGGGGAAGAGACACCAACATATGATTCACCCAGACCTCTGTGTCCTCACCTAAGCCACAGAGTTGGCAAGAGATCATTTTAGTCGTCAAGACCTGATTCTCCTTCTCTCCAGGTCTAGCAACTGCCACCCCAGACTAAATCTCAGACCTGGACCACTGGAGAAGCCTGCTAACTCATCTTCCACTCTTGCCCGGTATCAGCTTTTAAAAGCACAAATTACATTTTGTCCTTCCTCTGCTGAACCTCCCCTAGCTGTGCTTGGAATAAAATCCAAACTCCTGACCATGCACACCCTCCAGGTCCTGCATGAGCTGACTCCTGCCTCTTCCAATGTCATTATTCACTACTTTCCCAACTCCCCACCTACAAGTCACTCTGGCTTTTTCTGCCTGGCAAACAGGTCAAACTGTACAGGCCTTTGCACTTTGCCTTGAATGATCTTCCCCTGCTCCCCCCAGAGCTTCCCCATGGCTGGCTCCTTCCTGTTGTCATTCAGGTCTCAGCTCACATTTCTCCTCCTTAGAAAAGCTGTCTTCCTGTTTCCTTCCTTCTCACAACCTTGGGTTATTCTCCCTATAGAACTTATCACAATTTCCAATATTTTAACATTAGTTCGCTTATCTGTTGTCCATCTTATTGCACTGTGGAGATGGGAATGATGTGTATCCTTTGGAAGGCCACATCTCTTGACTTTAGAAGACCAAGTACACAGATGGTGCTCATAAATCGGTAATAAATGAACAGCCTGCCCTCACACACACCTCTGTGCCATCCCCACAGTGACTTCACTGGCTTAGACTTCACCACCTCTCCCCTGGTCTACACCAGCCCCCTCACTGGTCTGGTCCCACCCTAGTTCTCTTTCTAAAAAGTTTGTTAATACTCACCCGCAGATATGTTTATTGATTTTACAAAGAGACGAAGGGAGAGGGAGAAAGAGAACATCAATCAGTTACCTCCCCTACATACCCTGACAAGAAATTGAGCCCTCACACTTTTGCTTCACAGGAACACGTTTCAACCAACTGAGTAATCCCCACCTGGGCTTTCCCTGCCCCAATTCTTCTGGGGACCCAAACCACCCTGCAGGCACAGTGCTCTTTCTACCATTAAAATCTGTTTATGTCTTCTGTCCAAACTCCATCAATTCTTACCCCAATTTTATAATTCTCCATTCTATTCCACCCCTCTCCTCCAGAGCCCTACCAATTATTCAGTAGATATTTACTGAATGTCTGTTGTGTGTCAGGCAGTAAGAAGACAGCAGAGAATGAAACAGATACAAACTCCCATTCACCTCCTGTTTGGTGGTCAGATTCCTAACCAGAATATGGCCCAATTGTAGGGGACCCCAGTTCTATAGAACGCCTTTCATTCCACCCTAAAGGCAGGACTAACAGAAGGTTGCCACCCACCCCTTCTTAGACCTGGATCTGCCTCGCTGTTTTCTCTCCCAGGAAGCTGGGTGCCCCGAGAGGGCAGGGACTCATCTCATTATCACCAGCAGGAAGATCAGACCCTTGCAGTGAGAAGGGGAGATTGAATACATGGATATTTGAAGATCAAATAAATGTCCCCACCCCCACCACATTAAGACTCTTCCAGGAACCCTTTCATTTACTCACAAGAGCTCTGCCAACTCCCCCCACTTTCCCCCACCAAGGCCAGGAGGAGGTTCCGAGGCTTGTGGAACTGGTCCCAGTCTCTTTCAGCAGCAAACTCAGCATGGAGGCGGCGGCTGGTATGGAAAAAAGGGGTGGAAGCTCAGGTCCCAGGGTTAGGGGTGGGGGAGGACATGCAGGGCCCAGGCAGGTATCTCAGTGATATGTAATGGGGGACATGGGTTTCCAGCGGGAATCTGCAACTAACACCTTAGATGCTCTTAAACAAGCCATCTCTTTTCTATGGGACTATAAAATAGCCAAGCCCCTACGCAGACCCTAAACTCCATGGAAACCTAACAATAACCTCTTCCCCATTCCATCTCCTGCTGCTGCTTCTGCAGTTTCCTCCACCAGACACACCCCTATCTCTGCATCTATATCTATGTCCTGTGTTCTTACAGAGAACATGCAGGTCCACGGCACTGCCCCTAAGAAGCCTTTCTTGGTTTCCTCCAGCTAGATATAAGTGCCTCCCTGCATTTGCCACGTTCTACCTCCCACTCCTGGTGGGCAGAAACAGAAGCAGCAAGGAACCAATATTTCCCCTCAGGGCTGCTTCTAACATTCTTCACCTGGCGTCACCAATTACCCTGCCTCGTGTGTACATCGCTAAGCCCATTTTGCATATGAGGGCAAAAGTTTCACCCGCGGTCAGACAGCAGAGCTGGAACCTGAGAATTGGGACAGGAGCACAGGGGCTAGCTTCCGACCACGTGGAGGGACCCTCCCTAATAAAAGGGAGAAAGGGGGGCGATTTCCCCAGCCCAGACTGGGTAAAGACATCTTACATGTCCTCGAGCGTGGGCTCCGGGCTGAAGCTGAAGAGGCTGCAAGCATTAGTGCCGTCTCCTCCGCTGTCCCTACGCTCTTCCCCACCTGCACTGGACATGTCGCCCACGACTGCAGGCTCAACTGCTGAGAGGAAACCCGCGCTCAACTTAGGCCCGCCTCCAGAGGCTGTGACCAATCACAGGTCAGGTTAGCGATTGCTTACCGGGGCGGAGCCGCAGGAAGGCCCATCACTTCTGTGGAGTTTGCTATACCCCGCCCCTTATGCGGCCTGGACCAATTTGAGCAAGTTTCAAGCATCCGCTCTTAAACGGCTGCTCTGGAATTTTTTTCAGACGTAACCAAGCCTCTTAAAGGTGTAGGTATTGTGCCAGTTACCACCAGGGGAAAAGACAGAGGGCCGAGGTGGGGATTAGCGCAGGCGTGTCACTTCACTTACCGGCGCCTGCCTAATGACGATGCCGGAAAGGGAGAGGCACTTGGTGTAAGACGCCGGAAATGCAGGGTTTAAGCAAGAAGGGAGTTTATTGTATCGGTACAACAATATCTCCAGAATACAGCTGGGCTCTGGCAATAAATTGACACTAGGGTAGCTGTTTTAAGCATTTCACTTATTTAATCCTTACAACAGTAGGTAATAGCATCATCATATTCATCATGATGAATTCTCATCCCTGTTTAACCAAAATTACATTGAGTAATTTAACTTAAAAGCTACGAAAGTGGTAGCCAGGTTGCAAATTTCAGTTTGGCCTCCAAGTATGTTTGGCGTACACTATATTGCATCAAATGGTGATAAGTACCATGAAAACAAATTTAAACGTATTTAAACATGCAAAGTGAGGGCAACTAGGTTCCATAGTCCTGGGAAGATGCGGTAAAGCAACGTTGGTTACCTTCTCAGCTGCCCATTTCACGCCTGTATCTTTGCAGAACCGTGATTATATTCTGGGGTACACCCTTCTCTACTAGGCTGATCATGTGTCTGTCTCCTTTGCCCTGCCATCGGTCGATTTATGAGGTGAGCATGTGGCCCATTCTTGACAATGAGCAGTTACAGGAAGTACGTTAGAGACTTTGGGGGAAGGTTCTTGGTTCTTTTTCAAAACAGCACAAAGGAAGTTTCTACCTTTGATGTTGGTATGTGAAGAATGGATTGAGAGGAGAGCTAGCCCAGGAGCTGAGGCTGGTAGATGGCAAGATACAAAAGACTTGGGTCCCTGATGATATTGCTGGGCGACTTTTTTTTTTTTTTACAAGTTCCAGAAATGACCTAATTTAGGATGCTGGCTATGTAAGTTAATAAATCGCTCTGTTGCTCAAGTCACTTAATTGGTTTTTCTGTTATTTGCCTTTGAGAAATGACATTTAAGCCAAGCAAAAATCGAGTGGACTAGAATTCTAGGTAGAGGGAACCCCAATGGTTAAAGCAGGAAAGGTTCATCATGCTCTGAAGACAAAGGAATTCCAGTATAGCAGGGATGTAGTGAGGAAGGGAAAGAGTGGTTGGGTATGGTTTTAGAGAAGTAAACCGAGGCCAGGTTAGATCAAGTAGCCATGAATTTTCTATTACTTTGAATTTTAAGTATTACAGAAGCCCTCTGGGGGGTCTTAGGGAGGGGAGCCATATAATCATATTTTGTATTTATGAGCCCTCTGTCTGCTGTGTCCAGGACGAATTGGAGGAGGGCAAGAGTAGAAGGAGGGAGATGGGTTACTGCAGTTGCCAGGCCAAAGATGATGGTGATTTGGGCCAGGCCGATGGTGGGCACAGGTGGAGAGAAGTGGATGATTGGGAAGATATTTTGGAGGTACATCTATACATGGGCTTTGTTGGTATTGAAGTACAGGGAGGGGAGAAAGGGTAGAATCGAGCATGGTTTACAGGTTGTGAATGTTGAACAATGTAGTGGATAGATGACTCATACTGGGATGAAGAAGATGAGGTGCAGGATTGAACACACATGGCCTCAGCAGTTTGATTTATGACAAAGGAAATTGAAGATGCATGTCAAGTAGGCAGGTGTGTTTGAGCCTAAGCTTTAAATTAAAAACAATTTAAAATATGTTTATTGATTTGAGAGAGAGAGAGAGAGAAAGAAACATTAATTGGTTGTCTCCCATACATGGCCCACCCAGAGATCAAACCCATAACCAAGGTACATGCACTGATTGCGAATTGACTCCCCACACTTTGAGTGTAGAGCATGACTCACCAACCAACTGAGCAACACTGGCCGGGGCTATGAGCCTAATCTTCAGTGGAGAGATAGGAGAGATCCAGATTTGGTGGCCTCAGACATTTAGACAGTACTTGAAAGTCATGGAACTGCAGAAGCATAACTAATACAAGAATCTGGGCAGACAACACCGGACCTGGAGTACTCTGACAATTAGCGGTTGAGCAATGGAGAAGAGGCAGGTGAGGCAGGAAGAAAATTGGCCAAGTGTGTTGTTAAGGAAGCTAAGAGAGGAGAGTGTTCCAGAATGAGTGGACACTTGATTTGGATGCTGCTGAGCTACTGGGTTAGGTGAGAGCACTGAATTTGCCCCTGGATTAGGCATCATGGAAGTTGGATAGGGGACACAGGAGAATAGAGGGAGTCCTGGGTAACTGTTTTGAGTTTCTGGCTTGAGCAAATAGTTGGGTAGTTTGGCCAACTGCTGAAGAGACGACACAGGATCCGTGGAAGTTGGGGTGGGAGGGAAGATGACAAATTTAGTTTGGGACACATGGAGAGTTAGTTGGCTCTAGGGCATCCAGATGATGTGCAGCGGGCAGGTAGACACACAGGCCTGACGTTCAGAGCAGTGAGCTATGTTAGGGGTCTGTGAACTGGAAGTTTCAGGAGCCAAGGACCTCCCCCAGCACCTTCCTTGGTGTTTGCTAAGCTTCTCATATAAAAACCCAACTCTTTTACTGGAATATAAAACACACTTGGAGAGCAACTTTTTCAGGAGTCTTCTGCACCTCAGAGTTTTTGAAGAGCCAGGGACTGGGACTTCTAGAGCTCACAAGTCAGATGGTCTTTGGGGACTGACAGAAAGGAGGAGGCATTCTCTCTGGGAATGTCTCTACCTTCCTCCCATGAGACCTGCGAGTGATCTGTAAGGCTCTTGTGAAGTTTCCTTCAGAGACATCTAAGTTCTTTGCTCCACAGCATCATCCTCTGAAGACCAACCAACCCCAGCCACAGTACAGGACATAACTGGAGGGCAGGGGAGGCTCTCATGAGGGAGAGGGAACAGACCTGAACATATGATTGTACCTATCACCTAGACTTCTCATCCCAGACTCTTTCCACACCCTCAGCCCCACATGCAGTCAGTTTTCTCCATTCCTCTCAGCAATATCTAGGCCATGGGACCTTCCTGCTTTAGTCAGTGTGCTTGGTCTTGTCTTTTGGTCCACCTTTGTGATTGGCCCTGTATAAGCCTACCCCTGCCCCCCCAAAGATTGGACTGGGTGTCCTAGTCTTCCCAAACTAAAGATGTTTCCCAAGTGCAGGCCAATAAATGTTTAATGTAGGATGGATGGGTGGAGACAGACAAACGTGTGCATCAACACACATGGCCTTCTCCTGCTCAGAAGTGTTTGGCCACCTTCCCCATTAAAGTCAAGCTGTGCCACTGCTCTTTGGGAAGCCCTGGAGAGTGGAAGAGGTGGCAGCAGCTGGACCACAAAGTAGCAGAGGCCCATTAGCTGGTTGGGTGGGAGAACCTGGGCCAGTCAGAGATCCCAGAGACCACACAGTATGATGGGAACTGGGAGTCAGGTGGCTGGGACCCTATTGACCAATGCCCTTGGGAAGATTGTTTCCCTTCCTGAGCCTCAATTCCCCATGTATATAATGATGGCCTCCAAGGACCCTTCATGGTGTGCTGGGAGGACCAGGGCAATATGTATTGTGTTCATGGTTGTATCTCCAAATTATCACAGTGCTGTTCTTCCTGGAGGCAGAGCCATAGGGCTTGATAGTTTTGTACTGGGGGAAGGGAGAAAGAGTGTTGCTATAATTAAAAGGGTTTGTTTTTATTAAATGTTTCAGGGTGAGTCATGACAGAGGCTTTTTAGGAATCTCTGCCTTAGCCTGTTTGGGATAAGTCACCAACACTCTTTAGAACTCCTTCCCTGACTTATTTATCCAGCCTTGCCCCCTCCACACATGCTGAAATCCAGCCAGACATTCCCTGCTCTCCCACTTCCTGCCTTAGCTCATGCAGTCCACTGCTTCTGGAATGCCCATTACCCTTCTCTGCATATCCAATTCCAAATTCCCCCCAATCTGCAGAGCCATTCTTCAAAGCCACCTCCTCTGGGAAGACCTCCATGACTTCTTTCCCAAAGGAGGTAACTTTGTTTTCTTTTTTAAAAATAGTATTTTATTGATTATGTATTCCATTTTCCCCCATTTATCCCCCTTGGCCTTCCTCCACCCAGCACCACCCCCGACTCACTCAGGTAATCCCCACACCATTGTTCAATCCATGGCTCATGGATATATGTTCTGTGGATGGTCCATTCCTATTCTGTACTTTACATTCCCCATGCCTATTCTGTAGCTATCTATTTGTACTTCTTTATCCTCTTCACCCATTTCCCCACACCCCTCCCATCTGGCAAGCATCAAAACACTCCCCTGTATCCATGATTCTCTCTGTGTTCCTCTTGTTAGTTTAGTTTGTCTTTTAGATTCAATTGTTGATAGACATGTATTTGTTGACATTTTATTTATAGTGTTGATCTTTTTCCCAAAAAAGTCCCTTTAACATTTCATATAATAATAGTTTGCTGATAATGAACTCCTTTTTTTTTAATTTGGTCTGGGAAGCTCTTTATCTGCCCTTCAATTCTAAATGATAGATTTGCTGAGTAGTGTAATCTTGGTTGTAGGTTCCTGCTTTTCCTAACTTCAACTTTCTCTTGCCAATCCATTCTGGCCTGAAAAGTTGCTTTTGAGGAATCAGGTGACAGTCTTATGAGAGCTCTCCTGTAGGTAACTAAGTGCTTTTCTCTTGCTGCTTTTAAGAATCTCTCTTTATCTTTCTTAGGTTAAGAAAGGTTAAGAATCCCTCTTAACCTTTGGCATTTTAATCATGATGTGTCTTGGAATGTGCCTCTTTGCATCCATCTTGTTTGGGACTCTCTTTGCTCCCTGGACTTGCATGGCTATTTCTTTCACCAAATTAGGGAAGTTTTCTTTCATTATTGTTTCAAACAGATTTCCAAGTCCTTGCTCCTTCTCTTCTCCTCCTGGCACCCCCTATGATGTGAATGCTGGAACGCTTGAAGTTGTCCCAGAGGCTGCTTACACTATCCTCATGTTTTTGGATTCTTTTTTCTTTTTGTTGTCCTGATTGCTTATTTTTTGCTTCCTTATGCTCCAAATCATTGCTCTGATTGT